ACAGTAAACTACATCCGCGTCCAGAGTAAGATGATAAACTAGGCTTCTGATCAGGAGGCTTTGAGGAGCGTGGAAGTACCTCTTAATTGCTGGTGTTCCCAGGTCCAACTTGACCCTGGGTGGTAGCACCTGTTAGGGTCCCAGCTATGGGCCAATAGTTAACCCCGAAACTGCGGCAAAAAGCATTATGAAAGTTTAAAAATAGGTTTTAATACCAGAAATACTTTGTAAAAATTATTACCAGAAATAAATTTTTGAAGGAAAAAATTATTACCAGCAATACATTTATGAAAAAAAAAATATTACCAGCACTACATTTTTTAAAATAATATTACCAGCTATATATTTTTGAGGAAAGAAACATTACCAGAAATAGATTTTTGACAAAACAAAATATTATCAGGAAAAAAGTTGTCGGCATTAAATGACCCATTGAGGTTGATATGCCGTAAAAGAAAACAAACCAAACCAAACCAATCCACTGCCAGTAAACCGTTACATCTTAGCAACATTATCACCTTGTTGTTTTTATTTATCATTTCACCCTAAACCAGGCAATAAAGCCACTAGGATACAAGGGGTTACTGAATGTTAGAGAATATGAGAAAAACTACAAAAAGAGAGAACAATAAAAGAATAAGAAGAAGACAGTAAATATCAATTGACATTACATTTACATTTTTGAAAATCATGGTTAACTGGGTTGAAAGAACCTGGAAGACAGTTCCACAAGTGAGAAGTGCGATAGAAGAAACTGTTAGCATAGAACTTATGGTTACATCTAGCCATTTCAATTGTAAAATGACAAGCATAAATTCATAAAGTTTAGTTACCATAGCAAAAACTTCATCAGAACACTCATCATAAAAGTATTTATAAAAAAAGACACAAGGAATCTATATTATGGTTGTGAAAAAGACACTGAAAGGTTTTGAATTCAGTGTTGTTCTTCTCCTTGGCTGGTTAACAACCAAGGTTAAAGAACTCACTCTGCCCTATTATTTAGCCCATAGATAGCAGGAGACAAAGATCAAATTTATACCTTTCCCAAAATTATTTACATATAAATGAATAAGTGAATGCAAGGAACTTAGATATACCCCCTGACAAGTGAATGGAGTGATTGCTGAAGAATCTGTCTACTAAACTCTAGAGTTGGGATGCTGAAGGTAACACTAATCATTTAAGTGACAAAATTTATATTTATATTAATACTCTCTCTCACTTTTATATATATATATATATATATATATATATATATATATATATATATATATATATATATCAGTGACAACTCTTGGGGTTAGGCTTGTAAGGTTCAGCCTGAGTGAATCAAACTTCAAGTATACCTATTTCAAAGCAACAAATATCTTTTGTAGTACATTGTTTTCATTCTTGACTTCAGCGGGATCTAAAATTGTTTTAACTCTGTGACTCAAAATATTGACCAAAGTACATTTTGTTGATATTGTTCATAAGAAAGAAAGAAAGAAAGAAAGAAAGAAAGAAAAAAGACAGAATTTAGGTAAAAAAAGAATGATTAAATTAACATGGCTAGTCAGGCTGCGTAGATCTTAGCCCAGTTGATACTGGAGACATACTTAATAGGCAATGTATTTCTTGCTTTAATTTTATAAATAATATTTTAAAAATCTCTAATGACTTGTATGCTCTACTTTTCAAAGAACACAATTTTATTTCAACTTATTGTTTTAAAATGTGCATTTTAAATAATTTATTCTGTACATATAAGGATTTTTAGTGGAATGTATCTTTTGAGAAAGATCAAATTAAATTTAGTCCAACATAGATTCTTTAAATTCAGTAAAAATCAAAGAAAGTGGTATTCATTAATGGGATGGCTGTGGTGCAAAGTGTGACTGGGGTGGTGTTGAGGAAATATGATATCAGTCAGCAGTACTGATCATAAACATACAATAAATTAAACTAAAAATTCACAGAGAGATACATAAACACACTAACACATAGACATATATACAAACACATACTCTACCATCAGTGACTATAAAAGTTTATAAAACAATAAAAAATGGAAAAGAGGCAATAACCAAACATATCAAAGACTTTGTCCTCACTCTTTTTTCTTACATATCTGAAAAATTTTTTAAATAAGTGTTTATTTTTATAGAATCAGTAAAATTAATATTAAAATACAAAAATGTGTTTTTTTTTTATCTCATGCACAGAGATTTACACAAACTTATATATTTTAGTTAGAGTAAAAGAATTCTTTTAGCATCTAAGTTATACAAATAGTATATTTTGTTAATGATTGTATTGTGCCCAACAAACATTGATGACCTAGGATCACCACTAATATATATATATATATGTGTGTGTGTGTGTGTGTGTGTGTGTGTGTGTGTGTGTGTGTGTGTGTACAAGATGTCCTGGGTATGACTATAAACTACATCCGGCAGCAAGTCTTCTCATCAGGAGACTAGAGGATTTGAGGAGCATGGACCACCTTTTAATTGCTATTGTTCCCAGATCCACTCTGACCCAGGGTGGTAGCACCTGTTAGGGTCCCAGCTATAGGTAAATAGTGCCTTCCAGGGTTGACCAAGCTCTTTAGTGTTATAGAACATGGCTGGTCTAGAAGATGGAAAACTCTTACACGAAATGCCTGAGGTCTATTGTCTGCTTCATCTGTGGCATTTATTTGCATCGACTGAATGTATCAATAGTTTCAAATTGTGGATGGTTCTGCACAAGCCACTTTAATCAAATCACTTGGGTTTTCTGGTTTTCTTGATTCATTCATTCTTATCCATATAGTTCACTTGCAAGGTTCACTGGCGGGAGAGTGACAGATGGTTGATGGCTGTTCTTTTACAGAGCTTTTTTTTTCTTTTGTATAGCTCAGAGTCATAGACTCCATAGAGGTACCATATACACCAGCTAGATGTTTTCCATAAAAGCTATCTGTGTGCCATCTGTGGAGTTAACCTTCAAGATAGGACATCTAACGTAGACCTGTTTAACAGGCATAATATTTGAGGAATCAAGACTTTTCTCATACAGTCTCAGTTACAGTGGACTGGTGATATCTTAAGAATGTCTGATGACATGATACCCAAGATCCTAATGTACAGCCACTTAGATCAGGGCTACAGGAATGTAGGACGCCCATGGCTAAGATACAAAGACAAGCTGAAAAGCAACTTGTCAGCTGCCAGTATACCTCATAACACCCTCGAGCGCTTAGCCTTGGAGCGGGTAGAATGGAGATCAACATGTTTTAGTGGACTCAGCAGTTTTCAATCTGAAAATCTAGTCTGAATTGTCTTCAAGAAGCAAGATCTAAAAGGTCAGCTAATCTAACAGTGATATCATCCCACAATCTTCACTCTTGCTCCATATGCAGCCTCCTTTGTAAATCACTAGCAGGTCTTAAGTGCCACTTAAGACTATCGCACAAAATTTCATAACTGAATCAATTGGTTAAGTTGTCAAATCCTCATACTAATGGCAAGAGTCCATTATATATGCAAGTACAGGATTGGTGTAGACGGAATAAATTCCATAACCAAAAATACTATTTTTAGAAGAGTGCTCAATACAGAATAGAGCAAATATTATAATAGATTCAAATATAATTATAGATTCAGCACCATCACTTGATTAGACACCAAATAAGAGAAGAGAAAATAATGACATAATGAAGATGTTGACATTCCACACTACTACAAACAAAAGGTTAGGAAGGAAACCTCTATTAATACTGGAAAGAGGGATAACAGCTACTGGGCTTGAGAAGAAAAAATAATGGCATAATGAAGATGTTGACATTCCACACTCCTTCAAACAAAAGGTTAGGAAGGAAACCCCTATTAATATTGGAAAGAGGGATAACAGCTACTGGGCTCGAGAAGAGAAAATAATGGCATAATGAAGATGTTGACATTCCACACTCCTTCAAACAAAAGGTTAGGATGGAAACCACCATCAATACTGGAAAGAGGAATAACAGCTACTGGGCTCGAGAAGAGAAAATAATGGCATAATGAAGATGTTGACATTCCACACTCCTTCAAACAAAAGGTTAGGATGGAAACCACCATCAATACTGGAAAGAGGAATAACAGCTACTGGGCTCGAGAAGAGAAAATAATGGCATAATGAAGATGTTGACATTCCACACTCCTTCAAACAAAAGGTTAGGATGGAAACCACCATCAATACTGGAAAGAGCTATAACATCTACTGGGCTTGAGAAGAGAAAATAATGGCATAATGAAGATGTTGACATTCCACACTCCTTCAAACAAAAGGTTAGTATGGAAACCACCATCAATACTGGAAAGAGCTATAACATCTACTGGACTTGAGAAACCTATTTTCCTGAAAAACTGATTTAAGAGAAAGATTTTATAAATTTCAACAATACTGGTTGCTTGCTGAATGAATACCAAGTAATTCTTTATAAGGGAACAGTTAATATTACCATTAACATTACAAACATCATCATTTTCCATTGACATATTATTTATATCTGGCTTTTATTTTCACTTTTAATTTTAAATTATTTGATTTAATTTAATTGTAATTTATTTGCATTGTAATCAATGTAATTTTAAGTTTTTATTTCATTAAAACTTGTACACATTAATGCTGGAACAAAGAAATTTCTATATATTAAAAGACTTCTCATTTTACCTTAAGTTATTGTTTTGATATTGTTCCTTTAATAAAAGGTCCAAGAGATCATCAGGTTAGAGGGTAACTAAATGTGATGTGTGATATGGCAGTAAGAGGAGCAAATAAAAAGTGAAGATTATGGCTTATCGCCCCTTTACAGGTTATTTAAAGCCTGAATTTTCTTTTTAGATTATAAGAATTTATTTTAGCGCTACAAGTCTTACTATTTAATCTAAATTTATGGGGAGAAGATCTGCATTCATCCTTTTCCCAAGGTTATTTTGTGTGTATGGGAATGGGATTAACAAATCCAAGCAACTTTCCAATACATATCCAAGCTTACAGCACCTGTGATTCCCATGCGGTCACCCATGTAGATACTGACCAGGCTCACCATTGCTTAACTTTGGTGATCATACAGGAACCAGTGTTTCAATGTGACTGTAATCCAATATGAAGGATAGATAACAATTAAATTTAAACTTGAAGAGGTTAAGATTGTAGTGATCCAGGAAGAATGTCTCTTCCACAAAGTAGAGGTCATTGGGAAGAATCAGTCTAAAATGGAAATTCCTTCTTACGAATGGAATAAGAAGGTTTCTGTCTATATTTCTGAGATGAGGTATTATGTACATTATTTACATTATTCGGACTTTGTTGCCATATTTATTACGTTTCGGCCGTTAGAATGTCAAACTTAACGCGCCAGTGGTTGGAATGTCAAACTTAACCCTTTATTTTTTTTTACTGGGATAGACTGTTCTAGTTCCACATGCCATGTTTAATCTCCTGTTAATTCCCCTCTCCAAGTTCTCCACTACCTTAACTGGATATTGAACTCACACTCTTTGGGTCCTGTCACTGGATCTAACCAACACCTTTATCCACTGTACCATATGTCCTTGAGGACATCTGTATATGAATTTCTGGGTATTATAAACCTAATGTCAGAAGGCTGAAGCGTACAACGGATGAAACGTTGTAATAAATATGACGACAAAGATGAGGACAATAGTTCAAATAATGTAAATAATGTAAATAAAAAGGTTATCCTTAAAGGTAAGCTCGTTTAGCCTGTCTCTCGTAACTTAGATTCTTTATTTCTGTTGATACACGAGCAGCAGAACATCCTTCACTATGTGTGCCACTTAAAATCTACAAATACCTTAGATCAATGAAGAAGTGACAATGATTTTTTGTTTTCTCCACTTTGCATTCAGCATCTTACGTGTTTACATCACTGAGGCATTGCTTTTTCAATAGCACCCTTTTTGTCTGACATGTATGTATACCATATGCATTTCAACTGTATTGCTTATTTTGTCTTCTTTTTTTATATTCATTTTATCTATTACATTCTTCGCATTTACTTGTATTGTTTTAGCTTATAATTCTCTGTTACATATTGTTAAAATATTTCGACAAGATACACTGCGATATTTTGTTTTTAAGCATTTCATCCCAAGCAAGGTGGGAGTGCCACTAGCACGCAAGGGGTTTACAGAAAGTGAGAGTAAAGAGTAAAAAGGGGTGTTTGAGGAAAGGATAAATAGAAAAGCAGGGATCAGGATCAAGGCATCAGAAGATGTCAATTAACATTACATTTGAATATTTGAAGATTATAGCTATCAGGGAAGCAGATAAGAGGAAGGGAGTTCCACTGTTGGGAAGTGCGAGAGAAGAAGCCGTTGGAATAAAAGAGGTGGTTGCATTTAACTCTTTCAACAGTGAAAGGATGGGATTGAGATGCCAATCTAGTATCACACTTAAATTTATACAGTTTATATATTGGCATCCCAATATGCCTACAGTGAAAGTAGTTTGTCTGAGCAGTTTCCATGAAAATATTTATAGAAAAGACACAGGGAAGCTGTCTCACATCAGTGAGAAAGTGATTGTAGATGCGATATACAGTAAATGATGATTGTACAGATGAAATATCAAACAAATTTTACTTATAGTAGCTTATTTGCTATAAAATATGTCAAGGTTGATGCCCAGTACTGTAATATTTCATTACTGTAGGTAATAATAATATTTTGCTCAGAAGCTGGGTTCATGTTACACAAGCTAAATGAAAAAAATTATTTTTTTCTCAAAAAGATCTGGGATTGTACTATACATGAAGAATGCTTACACACAAGTATATACAGTATTATCCATTGAAAGGATCTCAAAAACAACCAAAGTCTCTTCCTACTATTACTACTAGGCACTTGAAACCAAATGTTATGGTGTAAACACTTAGAATAAGAGCAAAGCAAAAATAATTCATGAGAGATTGCCTACCGAACTGCGAAGGTTAGGACTGGTGATACTACGGAGTGTAGTCAATCATTCATACTTAGAATATTGCTGCCACGTATGGTCTAGTGCCTCTGCTATTTATCTTGAGCTCCTTCATAAGATCCAAAGAAGAATCAGCAATATTACTGGTCCTGATCTGGCAGCACAGCTCCAGTCACTTACCTTCTGCAGTAAGGTAACCTCTCTATGTCTTTTCTATAAATACTTTCATGGTAATTATTTGAATGAGCTCTTCAGTGTGGTACCTAAAGCTTTTGAATTTAAGCACAGCACTAGACTGGACTTGAGATCCCATCAATTTACTGAGTTGAGCTGGCTAGCTGTAGTCATAAATTCTATGCTAACAGTTTCTTTTCTCACACTTCTTGCTTGTGGAACTCCCTTCTGGCTCCATGCTTTTCAGCCAACTTTAATCTACAAAAATGTAAATGCAATGTCAATCATTACCTACTGTTCACCTGATTACTTTCTCATCATTATTGTTTCTGTTCCTAATTCTTCCACACCCTATAAACCCTTGTGTTTTAAAGTCATTATTGCTCGGATTGGGGTGATTCTGTATAAAAGAAAAAAAATTGAATACTTTTCATGGAAATCATGATAGAGCAGCAAGAGGCTTGTGCTTAGATAGCCTGTCTAGTCATGAAGCTTCTGTGACAATTTAAAGTATCATCTCTGAAAGTTGAGTTTTCTTTTTTTTTTACAGTAAGGTTCACTCTGTACAAAGCCCAGAGCCACTCGAGGTAGAAGATTATGTTAAGGGGTAGTTTATATGGATAGGAGTGGAAGATAGCAGTTAACTCTTCTTATAGACAAGCGTATGGTTGCAAGAAGGAAATACGACAACAGTAGAAATAGATTTACATGATTTATTTCAATTGGAACGTGTGGTTTTGGGACAGCTACCTTGTGGTATAGTCCATAGGCTGGCTGAAGATCTGGTTTGATCTCTCATAATAGTTCTCACTGGTTGGCGTAGCGCTGCTGCTGCTGACCATGACAGGTCTCTTCCCTGGCCTCTTGTTGACTGCTCTTGTACTTCCGTGTGACCCCTTTTATGGCGTTTTTTTAAGGCTTAACAGGCTCTAAAAAATGACATGAGTATAATTAGGAGGGAAGCATTTTTATTGGTCGAAAAATAGAAACACTTTAAAATATTATTTTATTTTTCGACTGGAACTCATGCGTCAGGAACATGCGTAAACGAAGATAATGGTCATTTTATGATGGGGCCTTGTCCCGTTCACATCCGGCTCTCGCTCTTGAGTATGTTAGTTTATTTGTCTGTAAATCAGCCAAGATATGTCTTATTTTATTTTATAACACTCTTGACATGAATAGATTAAGATTGCAGTGATTGGGGAAATATCCTTTTAGGAGTCTGTTTCACAGGGCATTGATTCATTGGAAGAATCTGTTTGAGTGGAACTTCTTGCCATGGTTTTCTACAATGTAAGTGGCATGGTAGATCCTAGATGTGAAGGTTAAACCTGGCAGAAGCAAAGAATATAGTTTACCTGAGCACTTTACATGCAAGTGGTGATAGAGCAGTGAGAGCCTTTCCACATTCCACCTGTAAGAGAGAGGTTGGATGGTGGAAAATAATTCTTCTCCAGCAAGGACTCACTGATGCTTTTGAACTCTTTGAAAACTGGAAAGTGAGGTCTGGGCAGCTCCCACCCAAATATGGCTACAGTACTCCATTTGAAGCCCTATCAAGTTCTTATAAAGCTAGAGGATAGCATGAGGAGTCAGGTACTTACTGGTGTGGTACAGGGAGTCGATCATTCTATCTGCATCTTTAGTGATGGATCATATATAAGAGTTCCACTGGAGATTGGGTGTAAGTTTGAGGCCCAATATTCTCTCAAAGCATGGTGACTCCTTGTGGTCACATCCATTTATCGTATTTCAAGATCTGATCAGCAGTGATGGAATGATGGGATATAGTATCAAGACTCTGCTTTCTTTATTCTTTTAATTGGTCTGAAATTAATATATTAATTCATTTCAGAATCTTGAAATACCTCATGACAACTACTGCTACAATTATCAGTTGCCATTCAGAAACAAATAATATGGTATAATAATATCTGAATGAAAGCATAGTACAGTATAACCCGGATATAAGAGAGTTGTTGGGACCGGAGAAGAAGTCTCTTATATCCGGGTTTCTCTTATATCCCGGTTTGGTCTATTTTGTTTAGGTAAGTATGGGAACACTTTGGGACCAGAGATAATCTCTCTTATATCCGGGTCTCTTATATCCGGGTCTCTTATATCCGAGTCTCTTATATCCGGGTTACACTGTAAATCATTGACAGATGAGAGAGCCTTGAGACTTCATGAGGTTTCTGTGACTAGTGTAGTTAAAGCATTGTTCATGAAATTTGAGTTTCCAAAATATGGGATCTGAATTCAAGTCTCCTCAAAAGATACTTCTTTATTCTGATTTCAAACTCTCATTTTATTGTGGAAGATTGGATCATCTTTGGATCTTCTGATTAAAAGGAGAAAAAAATTAAGAAAATCTAAAATTAATAATTCAACAACTTCATATTGGAATCTTGAAAGAAACTGAAGCCTTCAATGACTATTACTACTTTCTTTCTTTTTATGTATCATGTACTTTCAGGGTGTCGGCAATCATGACTCTCCACCACCACCCTATATGCCCTGAAGCTCTCAACATGTTCCTTCCCTCTGCTTCCTCCCCCAGACCATTTACAGTCATCCACCTGCCAGGAATGTCACATGCTGCTTTCCCTTGTCTCTCTTTCCCTCTGTTTGACCCATGAGTATCAGATTCTCCAGGCCATCCTTCCTCATTATGTGTCCCAAAAACTTCAGCTTCCTCTTCCTGATGTTAAGCATGAGCTTCCTCCTTGTCAGCATTCTCTCCAAGACCTCATCGTTGCTCACATGCTCAGTCCACGAAATCCTCAGTATTCTTCTGTAGAACCACATCTCCGTCACCTTGAGTCTCTTTTTCATCTTTGAGGAAATCGTCCAGTATTCACTGCCGTACCATACTGAAAACATTCAGTTCTTGATAATGACTGAGACAATCAAAAATACGAATCCAAAATCATGAACTTTAGACAGTTTTACAATGATGTTCAGTTTATCAACAATATTG